GCCAATACTGGAAATCTATAGTTTATCCCAATGAAAAATTTTTCATACATAATTATGTAAAATTATATAAAATTATATATAATTTTAAATTATATATAATTATGTATGAAATTTGTCCATACATGCTAATATATGTTACTTATATATAATCATATATAATTATATATATAATTTCATGTATAATTACATATAATTATATATAATTTTATATGATTATATATAATTATACATAATTATGTATGGAAAAATTTTATATATAATTATGTATGAAAAATTTTTCATCGGGATGTCACATATATTATAAATTTTTAATACTAGCAATGAATTTTTGAACGCAGCCTTAAAATATTAATTTCATTTTATGCTGGATACTAATTATACTACGTGACTAAAGCTCGTATTAACAGTTGTCAGCTGAAATTTGTCCTGTGTAAGATATTTAAATTTTTATTCAGAGTTGGATCTAAATTTCTCAGTTGAATTATATGATATAAACGATATTTATATCTGTAATCGCGATTCAACTGAAAAACTCTTATTTAACTCTCAATTCAAATTTGGATATTTGACTTAAAATAAGTTTCTAGTAATAACTATTGATACGGGCCTTCGAAATGGTAGAAAGCTTATCTGATGAGCTCTATCTATACCCGAGCGTTGATACAGTCAACTAAGTCAATTAAGTCAATTAAGTGCAACAACACTTTCCTCGATAAATTTTGCAAAGAATTCTGTATCCAATAAGAAAAGGTATCTTCTGAAAATTACTAAAGAACAAATTCTTTTATTGGCTACGGGATACGTTATGAAATTTATCGATATAAAGTATTGCAATTCTGAATCAGTCGGTTGTACACTTTAGACCTGTATTAATAATTATTATTTGGAACTCGTTTAAGTGAGATATTCCAATTTCAAATCAAGATTAGATGAGAGTTTTTCCGTTGAATCGTGGTACTTTATAAATATAAATATATTTTATAAATAAATAATGTAAATAAATAAATAAATATAAATATAATTTATAAATATAAATGTCACACATGTTCTAATTTAACTGAAAAACTTGAGTCTGATTCTAAATTGAAATCTGTGTATCTTATATGAGACAAGTTTCAAGTAACAATTATTAATATGAATCATAAAATGTCTTGTAGGACTACCTAGTAGGACTACCTAGACAAATAGAGATGTGGAGCAAAACATTAATGTACATCTTGTGATGCTATTGTAACAGCATAAAATATTTAAAATATATTTGCTTTAAGAAATACGTATTTATTAGGTCATAATTTTAACCAAAATATTTAATATTCATTTCTACAATAATTCTAGCATAACTCTGTTCTCTTTCCAGCAAAATAAGCAATTTTTATAATATTGCCGTAACGTTACTGAAACTTTCATCATAACAAATGATTTTATTCATATACTGACAAAATTCTTGTTGTATGAGAATACATCTTTATTTATTTATGCTAGTAACTAAGCAGACAATATGCGGGAATATATTTATTTGAATAGTTTCAAATAACGACTGTTAATATGAGTCTTAGTTACAAAACAATTTAATGACAATTTAATGACTTACAATTAGATACGAAACAATGAAGTTGGAAGCTCACCAAACTGTAAGGTGACCAAACGTCTCGATTTTTCACTCTTTGTCCCAAATTTTTTCGAGTGCTATTCGGGACAGCGATTTGTCATCATTTTCAATGATTATCAAATAATTCTCGGATCTTTTTCTCCCTCCCCCCGCCCCTCGCTTCACACATTTATGAAGTATCTCGAATTCAAGGCTGAGAAATCTGATCACCCTACATATACCGCGAGGAAAAACGAGAAGATTACTTACAAATGATGTCTTTACAATACGCCCCGGCGATCGCACATCGCTATTCTCAATATTCCCGATACTTATTTCCGCGCGAGACTTATTTTCGACGGGTTAAAGACGCGTAAAATGCGGAGCAATGTCGATCGATGTGTCCACGGCGGTTACTCGATGCATAAAGATTGAGAATCAAGATGGTCGCGCGATTGTTGAATCGCGCTGAAAATACACGCCAATATATGAACGGCGCCGCGGCCGAAAAGAACGCACTCTATGAGATACTTCTCTCTCCGTATCTCCTTTCCTAACAAACTGACACAACCGCCCGAATATTCCGCATCTCTCTCTCTTCCTCTCTGATTGTCATCGCATTTCTAATTCCCGTTCAATAAATCTAACAGTCACCCGATTCTATTACTACTTGAGCGAGTCGATGTTATTAGCAAATGTAAGGGACGTCGGTGCGACACGTCGCGACAAGCACTGGCCGCATATACCGCGAGGAGAAACGTGAAGATTACTTACAAATCACGTCTTCACGATACGCCCCGGCGATCGCACATCGCTATTCTCGACACTCCTGAGGCTTATTAACGCGCGAGACTCATTTTCGACGGATAAAAGACGCGAGAAACGCGGAGCGATGTGGATCGATGTGTGCCCATGGCTGCTGCTTGGCGCGAAAAGATCGAGCATTTCGCGCGATTCATTACCAACGCCTAGATTGAATAACCAAGATGACAAACTCGTAGCGCGAAACGAACGCGATTGGTCTAGAGTGGTTAGTAAGGGACTGAGCACAATAAAAGAAATAAGGAACAGGGAACAGAGAATAAGGAATAAAGAATACTGCAAACAAGAAATAACGCTATTCTTATATTCTTTTATTCTACGTTGGTGAATTAGGTTTCCTGTTTTAATGGGTGCGTTCGTTTTGGACATTCACATACATAAAGCGCTCACGCTTATAAGCGCTGTTTTTGCTCGGTTACTTTGATTTCTAAGCGCACTCATCGAAAAGATCATAACCGTTTCCTTTGGCTGTTGTAAGCAATTGTGAGCGTAAAAATGGAGGATACAGATAAGAAAATTGTTTGTGTATTTGCTCAAATATTAGTTTCATTAGATATTTTTGATGATAACGAAACAAATAACTTTTGATGATAACGAAAATAATATAAAGAAGAATTAGAAAAATATTTATCCGTAATGATTGGATCAATAAAAAAAACAATACCTCGGTTAAAAAATTATGTGGAAGTGGTTGTACCATTATACAATGATGAAGTATTTAAGTCACATTTTAATAACTTTTCACTTTATAACTTTTGTTTTATTTAAGATCAACGATTTTAACTTTCATATTCATGTTTTTACAACAAAATATGAAGATTTAAGTACAATAAATTTGTGAGAAAGTCCGTTCATCAAATGTATTACTAGTGTTGCTGAAATATTACTTATTTTTTTTTTAATTACCGTTGGACAGTGCTTTATTACTCAAAATAAATATGATTTAATAACAAAAATAATAAATTTTTATGAGAGGTGTCCTAAATTTACCTGTTTCTGTTTTGCTTCATCTGATATAACAACAAGTGTATACATTTTATTATTTGTAACATCTTGCAGAGTTACTCTGGTTTTGTTACTCTCGTTGGAAGTCATTTTGAAACACTATTTCACTTTAAGATTTATATTGGAGGTTAGATTGCGTCGATTTCATCGACGCAATCTAATTTATCATTCTCTTTGGAAAATAAGCGCTTATAAGTGCTCACGCTTTTACTGCCCTACCTCGATAGAAGAAGCGAATATAAGCGCGAGTTATGACGTCACGCATGACGTCAATATGCAGTTTCTAAGCGCTTATAATGCCAAAGTGAACGACGTGAGCGATATTTATAAGCGCTTAAAGCGCGTAAGCGTTCAAAGCGAACGCACCCAATATTGAACTGTTCCTTATTCTCTGTTTCCTGTTCTTTATTCTTGATTCCTTATTCTTTATTCTTTTTATTGTGCTCAGCCCCTAACTCGAGCAAGTGGTTAAGACGTCCGCCGTAGATCACGTCGTTGTAGATGCGCGACCTCGTTCGCATCACTGGCGCGTTCACATTCGTGCACTTTTGGCACTTTCAGCGCGCTAATGAACTTTTGGTATACGTAATTGACAGCGCGCGTCTGCGCGATCTTTTCATGCCGAGCAACTGCCATGGACACAACCGTATTCCATACGTCTTTCGCTTGTGTCCTGTAAGTCTCCTGCAGAAATAAGTATTAGAGTGCCGAAAACAACGACGTGCGGTCATCAGAACATATCGTAAGTACATTATTACGGAGTAATCTCCTCCCTTCTCGACACATGCAGCTAAGGTGATCAACGTCCCGATTTTTCATCCTTTGTCCAGAATTTTTTCGAGTGCTATTCGGGACACCGACTTGTCATCATTTTCAATAATTGTCAAATAATTTTCGGATCTTTTTATCCCCCTCTCCCGCTCCACACATTTATGAAGTGTCCCGAATTCAGGGCTGGGAAATCTGGTCACCTTACAAACTGTTAATATTAAGAATCATTACCGAGCTTGCGTAGTAATTATATTATTATTGAGTAAACCCGTTGATAATAACTTCAATTTTTGATAGTTTAATGATTCTTCCAACTTTATTATATCTAAACCGTTCTGCAACCGACTATTCACGTTGTGTCAACCTTATACATAGCAACGTCTTTCAAATAATTAAACGGTCCAAGCATGGCAACAATGCTAAGATTTATGATCAACCCCGTCGAGTTGCAAAACGCCATCCAAGCTAAGCACGATCAAGCCGAATTGTCGAGACGCTCACACTTTATCGCGGCACGTAAAATTCAGGTGAGCCGTAATCCGGGCGGTATAGATGATAGCACTAAAAAATACATTGGAAATTCCTGATAAATTCAGGCCTGGTTCCGCGGTGTCGTCACTCGCGCTCATCTCCGTAGTCTCCACCAGCACGCGACGATTCTGCAACGTCATTGGCGTGGTTACCGCACCAGGATACTCTTCAGGCGTTACCTGATCAAATATGTTCAACAGATGTGGCAGGATTATTACAACAGCATGGCGACGAGAATCCAAGCCGTTTGGCGGGGTTATTGGACGAGAAAAACGCAAATAAATTTCGTGCAGCTGCGACGATGGTTACAAGCGGTTCATGCAAAGAACGATGAAGTTTTAGAGAACATGAAAAAGTGCGTTCGTCGCTCACAGTGTTAAGCTTGTATCAGATTGTATCATATCGGAGATTAGAATACTAGATTAGATTAGAGACCAGAATTTGACAGATCAATTTTAATTTAATTTCAACTAATTTGCGGATTAGATATTTGATTACAGATCAATTAATTTTTATTTATTTTCAACTATTTCGATCTTATTTCGATTGCTGTTTCAACTAGTAAAGTTCGAATTTTCAGTTCGCAATCCTTGGTCTCCATTTAATACAAGCTTCAAGAACTTGTTTCTTTCGTTTCGTAGATACAGGCAGACGGAACTCGAACACATAGAAAACGCGGCCGAGCAAGAATCGCTACTACGAATTCTGTTCATTCTGTTTAAGGTAGAATAAATATACTTTATAAATAAATAATATAAATAAATAAATGTAAATATACTTTTATGAATATAAACATACTTTATAAATATAAATGTCACACATGTTATAATTTAATTGAAAAACTTGAGTCTAATTCTGAATTGAAATCTGTGTATCTTATATGAAACAAGTTTCAAATGACACTTATAGGACGATAACGCTAAAAATCTCAGAGCTCCCGGCGCGTTCGAGATTTATGAAATTTAACGTTTCGCTCATCCTCGCAGCTGCACCATTTGCTGAGGACCGAATGTCGTCCTGGTGTTATCACGAGGATCGACCAAACTCGCTTCACGTACATCGAGGATATGCTCAAGTGTCTCCAGTACAAACGTTACGTTCCGAGAGCAAAATCTCTTCGCCGAGATCACAAGACCACACATACACACAACCATGGGTCTGTCTCAATCTCCGGCGACACTTATTTGGAAAAATGCAAGAGAAAAATGCGACAGTTTGAGCAGAGTTTGCGAATCGGGAATGTACCTGTTTTCAAAAGCACAGTTGGTTAGTACATTAATTGGAAAGATAATTTTTACTCGTTGTGCAATTAGATTGTTATACTAAGAGATACAGTGTTCAACAAGTAAAAAATATTTCGGTAGGTACTAATAAGCAGAGTTGAGTAAAAAAGCAACTTCTTTTTTAATTAAATTAAAATTAATAGCTTTTAATTTAATTAAAGTTGATGGGCTACAAAATTAATTAAGTTAAAAGTTACATAAAGAAACACTAACTATATTAATAGTTAAATTAATATCAAATTAATTTATTAAAATTAAAAGTTAATTGTATAAAGAAATATATATGTTATATATCTTACATAATTAATTTTTTATAAGAAAATACTGACTGTTTTGTGCTTAGAGGATTCCATAAGGAAAGAAACACTGACAAACTCAAAGAAAAAGAAAAAAATTCTGCTTGCATTATTTTTGATTTTTCTAAAAATTTATTTATAAGGAACGTGTATGTGATTTTAATATTAATGAATTATTTAACTTTTATAAAATATTTAATAACTTATATATAGTTAATGTATTTCAAAATAACTAGTTTAGGTAAAGTTATTAACTTATCTTTTAATCGACTAACTACTTATTGCCAAATTATTGTAATAACATATTTACTTAAATCTAAGTTCTTTTGTTTAAATAGAATAAACGATTGCTTTTTCATGAGAAAAGTTACGGTTTTAAGAAAACATATATTTTCCTATTTCCTAGAAAAAACAAATATAGACCTTATTTAGAAACATGTTTTATTTACAGATACGTATTAAATTTAAATAATACAGTTTTTTAGAAATTTTTATCGGACATTTTTTCTCGAAGATTGTCGAAAATGGGCCCTCCTACAGCTTTTCGACGTCTCGCGACACCTTTATCGCATGGTTAACTTCAAGATTGAATTGAATTAAAAGTTAATAGTTACCGATAAAATGTAACTAAGTTAAGTTAAAAGTGTAAAAATGTAATTAAGTTAAAGCTACTTAACTTTTAATTTTTTAACTTAACTTTTAACTTTTTAACTAGTTACTACCCAACTCTGGTTATTAATAATAACTAGTGTAATAGTATTAGTGATAACAATATTAAAAAAAAATAGAATAGAAATACGTTATTAAATATTTAAAAAAATATTAAGCTGACATTCATTTTATTTGTAAGAATGTTTAGTTGAAAACTGCATAATTTTTTTTGTTCTCTATTTTATTTGAGAAACACGATCCACCTTTTGCACCAACTTAGTACCTTCCCGATACAAGACGATCCAATTTCCTGTAGAACTGGCGAAATAGCTTTCCTACTTTCTGTCTTTAGATCATCCTTTCAAGAGAGATAGCAGAACTATTACGAAAAACGTGAGCTCGAGTGACGGACGAAGTAACAAATATTCCGGCGGATGTTCACATCAAAGTTTCACACCTATCGAGCTGTACGAAGCTATCGACAGGATGGATTGCCGACTGGATCGTCTTTGCCTCAAGTGTCCTATCCACGGTCTCATTTTTTGAAATTGTGCGCGGAGGAAAGCACAATTTCACGCGTGCATTCCTCAGTCACTAACGAGCTCGACTGAGGAATTCATTGCAAATTTATGCTGATAAATTCTTTTCTGCAGCTTCTATAGCGTTTTTTTCGCGTAGCTTTCTATTTAATAGACAATTGCCCATCGAAATCAGTCCGATCGTGGTTTGTTAACAGGAAAATAAAGGAGTGACTAATCGGTGATTATGTTGAAAATGTTCAACTTTATTGCATTACTAAAATAACATAACATGTTTCTAGTTTCATATAAAAAGAAAATAAAAAAGAGTATCGCTTTGCTTAACCATTTGCTTTAGTGATATCCTGACGTCGTCGTATTATATCCTGTCCCATATAGAAATCGTATACAAGCAGCTAGTACCAAATTCAGTAGTACATCTACAAGTCAATGTGTAACACATCTATCAATAGAAGAACTGACATTGTGGGTAAAGTAGGTGATTCACAACCAGAGAGGACCAGAAGTATTCCGGCCTCAAATCCCGCTAACAGTGATATTACAGTACTATTTTTCGAGTCCTGACACATTACTGGTATTCAGCCAGTACTGACATCTAGTACTACGCCAATGCTTTATACTACAGATCGATTATTCCTGGCGGCACATCTTCGGAAGCGATATATATTTAACCATACTCGGTGTTTTTGTGCTGAAATCTGGATTGGCGCCCGCCTTAATTCTTTCTATCATCTCATGGATCTCGGGACTCAGCACCTCACAATGATAAGTGATTGGCTTCTTCGTCACGAACCATTTTTTACAGCCTTCGGAACACACTGGGATAGGTCTCATAGAGAAGCATGCCTGTTTGTCATCCTGCTGGATATCAGTTCTGAGCAAAGTGCATCCCTTCGTTCCCTCCGTAGACTCCTGCGAACTTCTTCCTTCCTCTGATGAAGCGTCGGCGACAACGTTTGTTTGGAGATACTCTATCACTCTGCACTTCTCCAAAGCTCTTTCTCTTAACTTCTTCGTCTTCTCATCCACAAAGCAACTGTCGTTGTCGAAGGTGTAGAAGGCGACGAAATCCTCGGGTTTCTTCACGACGCACCCTTGCGGAGTCGTGAAATCGTTCTCCTCGTTATCGTCCTTGGTACCGCACAAACCACGTATGTGTCCATTGTACGCGTCGGACGCCTGGAACACAACAGATTTGTCCCGGATTAGATGTCGCGTTACATTGCGCAGAAGTCGCGCAATGTTCAACGTCATCCGCGCCGTTTTTCACTTACCTGAATTTTCACATTTTCACCATTGAACCACATAACGACTTCAGCTGGACTGATAATAATTTTGTAAAGTACGGACGTCAATTTTACAAATCTAATATTTAAATCCTTTTCTATAAATTCATTTTCGATGAATTTGAGTGGCTTTCCGTTTACATAAAATGCGTCGTCGGATGTCCTCATTTGCAACTTCTTATTCTTATATGTAATCGTTATTTGCCTTTTGACGAACTCGTTTTCCTTTTCTCCTAAATCTTCTAACGAAATAGCTATTTTGTGACAACTTAATATATCCGGAGATTCATTGACATTATCTAAGTTTGAGTTGCGTTTCAATATTTTAGGACTGATCATCATCATACGTGAACATTTGCTCGTTCCAATAGGATACACCTTATTGTCAAAAGTTTTCACTCTAGTATTGCCGAGTGTGCAGAACCCTATAAACGGAAAAATTGGTCAGTTATATGTTGCAATAAATGATATTTGTACATAAGCTGTATATATAATTATCACGAGATCGATAGCGAGTTTGTGGAATGTTTGAAAGAGAGAGAGAGAGAGAGAGAGAGAGAGAAAATTAAAAAACAGTTAAACACGAAAGTGTTTGTACGTACACTTGAAAAGTAAGTGAGGCATGAAACATTACCCGAGTAGCAAAGTAACGTCAGAGGACACACATTAACGTCACATTAACGTCAGAGACGTCATATTAACGTCTATTTAACATCTTCTGACGTCATTTTGTTACTTGGGTAGTTACTGCGCAGTAATTGGCGCACTAATCTTACTTACAAATAGCACGATGCATTAATTTACAAATATGTCAAGTAACTTTTCTTGTTTTAGAGTAGACGAAATATTGCCTACGTTTCTCATCAAAATTATCGATGCATTAGTTCACAGATGAGTACCAGTCACAGTATTTTTCAAGGAAAGTATTTGAATGTTTGTAACTTTATTTTTTAATAAAGAATGAATAGACATTTTGTCTGGTTTTGAAGAAAGTTGCTTATTACACCTAATGAATTAACGCATCGAAATGTACACTCCACGGTGTCAATAGATTGAGTTTTCAAACTTTATATACAGGAAGATATTATCAAACGCTCTTAATTTGTATGAAGCTTTAAAACTTACTTTTCTTATGTTGCATGCCCCATAAAGTGTCCAACTCGTGGTTGATGAACTTTCCAAGAGACATCAAGGAAGGGTCCGCGGGTAAGTGTGCGGCTAACGATCCACTGTTTAGAGTAACGTTCATTTTGCGGTTCTGGAGCTGTCTTGTTATAGTAGATTCGATGAAATTCGAGAATTTAAAACTGGAGTCTTCAGACTTTACCGAGTATATACGCGCATGAGGGATTACTTTGTGAAGTAGCCATTTGATAGTATAGAAATGTAGAGTTTTGATATCTTCCGGATCCATTTTGACCGACAACATTAACTCGTCCATAAAACTGGCAAGTTTGCACACCTTATCGGTGTTTACTAAACCGAAGGTGCCTTCTCCTAATTCTTCCTTGCTCCGCTCGTATGTTTTGGAATGCATTATCTCTTCCTTCACGTTCTCATTTTGTTTTTGTAGTCCTTTTATACTAATTTCTTTCCCGTTTCTGCAAGATTCTCCATAGCGTACTAATATCTTAAATGGCCTTATCTTGTTAAGCAATTGGTCCCCAGCTAGGCAACTAGAAGGTTTTTGGTGTACTGTTGCGCTACCGCAAACGTTCGTAACCTTAGATGAGTTAACAAGATAGCACCTAACAGCCAGATTTTTAGACACAAGAAGTTGCGCCGCATTTCCAAAGCAAGTATAATCAATATTACCACCCGGTATTAAGAGATGAACCTTCAAAAAGTCCGAAGTGAGCACATCTTGTACCTTAGTTTCTGATTGAGCCCATAATTCTTCATGTTCTTTCTCCAGATTCTCAGTTAGTTTTTGCTCAAAATCACGTAGAACTAGGTTAGCGTAATTGACTTTTACGATTATGCTGTTGCTTCTTCCCGGATTCATACTTATTTCTTGCTTGTGGTAATGAAGCGGAATAGAAACGAAGAAATTCAGGATGTTTTCAAAGGCGTCAATAGGCGATAGTACGTTAAACTGGTTAAACATATCGAATACAAAACTATCGGTCTCATGTTTAAAGGTTATTCTTCCTAGCAAGTCCATCGTTGATTTATTTATTTTCCCAACTATTATTGGTTGTGTGTTCTTGTCGATACGTGCACCTTTGAAATTAGGGAAGCGAGTTTTTCCGGTGTACGGCAAGATGTAGTGCTGCCACAATTTCGCTTTCTCGGTACCTGGAATTGTTTTGATTTCCACTCCTATATGTTTCTGCTTCAGATCTATTTTGGCGCTCCACGCTACTGGTACACGTAATTGCCAGTCGACGTCAACACCGGTAAAATATTGCTCGTCGCTGAAAGGTGTCAAGAAGGTAATCCTGCTTATCGTCTTCCTATTTACCACCATATTCATTTCTTGGCTGATTTCAAACGCATCTTTTTCCTTTGTTTGTAGTTTATTCCTCAACGAAACTAATATGGGTGCAGTCAAGCGATAATTTACGGGTAGACCGATTTCGGACGGGTAGCTTATTATGAACTGCTTGTTCAATAGCCTAGTCATTATATATTCCTTGTTGTAGCCATTCTTGGTTGTTTGGATCAGCTTCTTGAAGTCTGTAACAACAAATAGGTGACAAACAATGACTTGTATCCTCGAGGATGATGCAGTACCTCAGTTGCATTGATGCTATACCATTCACTAGATTGATAATCATTAGAAAATGTCAACCACCCGTGTCCGTTTCTAGCTGATCATTTGTCATGACTGTTGATTATCAGGTAAGCAGGAATATGTCAAAACAGAAGTGACATTTTGACAGCTTGACGTTTCTTACATACGTGTTTTTAGAAGATTATCCGTTCACATGTAACGCGTAATTAATAGAAAAAGAGTAAGAATGTTAAAAGTAAATAAAAAATATTTTTAAATATTTTTTACTTAAAATATTGTTTTCGAATATTGTAAAATAGAATGCTTATTAATATTCTGGGACACTTATGAAATAAAGAATAATTTGGGAGGAAATAGCGTGAATATTAAAATAAAATATTAACATGAAAAGCTGTCAAAATGTCACTTCTATTTTGACACATTCCCGCTTGCCGGGTGAATCAGCAGTGATCATGAAAAACGATCAGCTAGAAACGGACACGGCTGGTTGAAATTTTTTATCGATCTGGTGAATGATATAGCATCAATGTAACTGAGTACTTGAAAATAGATTGCACTATACTTACTTTCTTCTAAGCTTTGCAACGTGTATCTGTCAAAGACAACGAAAAACACGCCATATTCGTTAGAGATGACGAAGCTTCCCTCAGGGTCCACTTCATTGTACACGATGTTGAGCTTCTCAGCTAACTCATCAACTGTCGAGCGCTCCTCGTTAGTTACTTGTCCCATTATCCTCCTTATCGTACGCAATATCAAATTTATGTCTGATACGCCGTACTGGGTTCTGAAGGCCGGAGGCGAATAGAAGGAAGAATTAGCTGTTAACGTCAAATCTACAAATTTCGGGATGGTTTTGGTCTTGCTACCGATGGTACTGAACTCAAGCGAAGCGTCGTAGTCCCTCTTTTTATTTACATAATCCAGTATTATGTTGCTAGAATATCTAATATTATATTCTTGATCGTGTTGTGTTATGATCCTATTGGCGGCTAACGCACTCCTGACGAGCCTTGCGTATTTATCACCCTTCAATCTCGTCAGGCTCTCTATGCCGGTTAAAACAGCGTTTTTCACTTGCACATCACGCTCGTCAGAGACCGTCTTTGCTATGTTCATCATAATGTGTTCAGGTGGATTGTTCTTAAACAATACATTCAGCGCCATAACACGTACTTGGTAATGCTCCTTCTGGTTCTGGTAGATTTTGTACATAATCGGTCCGATCACCTTATAAGTTCCTGGATATACTTTTCCTAATGCGCTGACCATTATCGTACGTTGGAACGTGGTTAAACGATATTTGCCTTCCAAGTACGGCTCGAACACCCGGACTACGGCTGGGTGACCTATATTACCCAAAGCCATGATGTATGTTACTATAAGGCTATCGCGTTTCGCTTTATAAGCTTCCTCCAGTTCGTCGGCAAAATAGGAAATGTAAGTAGAGAGCATCTCCTCTTTATGTGTTTTGGAGTGAGTTTCGGGGTAGGGATAGATATACTTTTGATCCATGACCAGAGCGTAGCGGACTAATTCGGAGAAGGCGTAGGGCGCGGTAGTGTTCAAAACTGCCTGATTTCTCACCTCTGGCGATTTGATAAGTTCCTGTACAGAGAGTTGCGCAAGTGAAATTAATAGATCGCCGTTACACGATAAGAATTTTATAATAAAAGTTTCCATGGAATTTTTGGATAACATATATCGACGTTCTTTCTTAATTTATCGTTCTTTCGTTTCATATGTGCTACACACTGGATGTTCCAGGCCTCGCGACCTTAATTTTACTTAAAGATTCTCTGAGCAATTTAGAGACAATTTGTCCTTATTGAGAATGTCGAGGGGAGCCATCACTCTCGTGGCAACTTTACAATTTTTAATACAATGTAACGTTGTGAATGAGGCCCAAAATGAAGGCCATATATATATATATATATATATACAGGGTGTGCCAGACTCTCCTCTGAAATTTTTGTGAAAACGATGGAGAAAAACAGATGGAGGTGAACATGAAAGTCCCATGCGATTTTGCGATATTCGCAATAAGTCTTGAGATATTAATTAAAGATCAGTGAATGATCTGAACTGAACAAAAAAATTCTCTACCATTTTGCAAATAATCACATAGGTTTTAGATATTAATTAAAGAAGATTTGTGCGTTATCGCGCACAATCGTGTAACAATTTCTTCTTTCATTAAATAATTAAAAATCTACATGGTTATTTGCAAAATGATAAAAAGCTATTTTGTTCAACTTGATTGAATGTACAGTATCTACAGTTTATCTACCATATCGCGTTTATCTACGATTTATCTCGTAGTTGGCAATCAACGTGTTAATACCTCGACTATTATTGCAGATATCGCAAACGATATAGGACTTTTATGTTCATCTCAATCCGTTCATTTTATGTTTTCACAAAAATTACAGAGAGGAACCTGGGACATTCTGTAAAGTCTCTACCGTTAAAGAATTCATTATGTGTCTTAGCAACGCAAATCCCACTGACAGTCCATTCTTGCATTATTAAAAAAGCCTCGTAAAAAGAAAAATTTATAAGAGGACAGAAGCTATGACATTCCTCTTGTATAGCCTATTCTATATATTTGTCGCACGCAAAAGGATACTCACGTAAAACTGTTGAATATAATCCTGTGTGGGAGAGCGCACGGCTCTAGGAAGTTGTCCTAACACAAACGCCGCTTCCAGGTTCGTAAACATTTTCGTTGTAATCATTGTACGGATGAGCTTGAAAGCAGCGAAAGTCCCGGTTTGCGCTAAGGCGTTGCGAAAGACGCTGCTGGCAACTATCTTTCCTACATCCAACTTAGCTGCCCTGTAGTCGATTTCCAGCTTATCCCTCACAGTAGTTAAACTTGTCTCATTCATATAACGAAGCATTCTCGTCAGAATGGTGTACTTCTCCAGCGTTCCTTGACGTACAATTTCGTCGGGTGTCATGATTTCCATTGCTATGTCGTGGATCATTGAGTCGATTTCTTTTAATATATCGGAAATCGTATAATCCCGAAGAGGTCTTCCGCGAGACGTCGCTCTCTCATTTTCGTGGTTACGTGTAAAGTGCTCTCGGCTGCTGGATTCCGAACTATTTTCTTCTGAGCTGTGCTTAGTCTGCTTAGAGTACTCGGAATACCTGCCTCGACCCCTACCTGATGTCGAGTGGACATTAAATTCGGCATGTTCTCTGGATATTCCTCGGATGTTTATCAAATTTTCGAGATCGTGGTGGAAGGAAGTATCAACCGTACCCCTTTCTCTTATATTATAAACATATGTTAGGTTCCCAGTGGACACGACTTCTTTGGGCATGTCGGCCTTGCTGGTTGTTTCTTCTACTTTAACCAGAGTCAGGTTCATCATATTGAACATTTTGGAGCTTTCCATATCTTCGAGTTTAGGTTTTACTTGTATTACATTCTCCATTATGCTTGACAAAATGGTGAAGTATTCTTTTTTATGCGAGACGATCATATTAGTCGTACTCAATCTCTGCAACATTCGTACACCAACCAATTAGTCTCACCTGTTTTCTGTCATCGTTCTCCCGTGATACTTTTGTACCTTCTCAATTTCTTGAAGTGAAATTCTACACGAAAAGTGAAGTTGTCACCCAAGTCGTTCGAAGTTATATGACTTCTCACTCATATGAATGAGTGAATTTTTCTCTCTAAATCATTAATTTAATGTTTTCACTCAAAATTTAAGAGTGGATCTGACGTACAGAGTGTTTTACAAAACGATTTAGACACAGTGAAATTGGCAGCTCATCAAATTATCAAAATTCCGGATCATTCCGTCACTGACGGGCTCAAGCAGATTCGTTTTAAAAGAAAATATGATATTTAGCAAATAAAAGATATTTACCAAATAAAATAAATGTGATCAAATAAAAGAAAATGTAATATAAAAGTTACATGATATAAAAGTAAATCAAATTAACAATGCAGAACAGAAATTTCAAACATCTTTACCATCAAACATCTTTCAAATATCTTTACAGATATTATCTGTGCACTTCTATTTGATCAACTAACATGCAACAATAAAAAAATAATAAAACCATATTTGCTTTCCGTATCTGTAATATTTTGTGCGTGTATTTATCTATCTATTTCAACTTTATTTTAAATTATTTTAAATTAATGCTTATTACTTAGCATTAATGAAATTTATTAATTAAATAAATTATTAATGAAGTAAATATATAGAAACGTAAAATTTTCAATAAGTAGTAAGTTCATGAGTAATCCCCTCGATAGTTCATTTAAAAAAATAAATAAAAAGTAAGTACTCGAATCTTCTTAAAAAATAACAATAATATTAATAATATAATAATAATAATATTAAAAATAATAATATAATTAAAAATATTGTTAAGAATAATAAATAATAATAACAATTAATAATAAAATTACTGGGAAAGCGCATATAAAATGATTTCCAATTTTTACAAGTTGGCGAGTTCTCTAATTTCATATTGCATTGTCCAAACCGCGTTTCGCAACCCACTGTACTCCACCGTCATAGCACACATATTTAATTTATTAATAATTTAATTTAATATCATTAAAACCCATTCTAAGTTCGAATAAAACACTACCTCTTGCGATTGTGAGCGACAGTATCTTCACTGTTGTTTCGAGTGAGAATAAAAATGCCACTTTTAATTCGTTTTAAATAAGATTTTCATTTCAAGAAATTTAGAGAGTATAAGATGCGATTCTTTCGTTTGAGATACAGTCTCTCACGGAGGACGATAATTTACACGCGTATTCTGCGTATTAGTACCCATTAAAATTTAACTCACCGTAATGTAGTTCTCTTTTATATGCTTCTCCGCGTTATCCGTCACAGTAAATTGGTAACTCGTTTCCTGCATGCAATCTTTGTAGTTTTTATATTTCGAAAGCATCAAGTATCCATCTTGATTGGGTGTTTCAAATTGTAGCAGGTTAGTTTTTTTTATATCCTCGCGGGATATCGGCCTCAGGTCGTATTCGGTCTTGCAGTAGCCAGTGACGGTTTGCTCCTTGCCCGTATAGATTTGGTGAGCATATTCGTGTCCCAAAGGCTTCTTGAGTTGCTTTTCTGTTAATTTATCCGTTTCAAACTGCAGTTGACTCAAGAGACCCTTTATGATGTTCACTGTGTATGGATTGTTAGCATCTCTCAAAGTAGCAAATACTTCATCTACTTTCCCATTACGGAACGTAACTTTCAAGGGATCTCCCGTTGACGGAATGGAGACATATCTCAACAAGTAATCAGGAATAGGAACGTTCCAACCATCAGGCAATGATGCATGTATGGAAGAGTATTCCCCTTTAGTTAATTCCACTATCAAAACGTCCGGCGACCTCACATGAACATTCAAGTAGCCCTTCATTACAATTCCACTGACCTGATCAGATACCTTCGCGCCCGTTAGAGCGCGAGTTCGTACCATATAGCGATATGTCTGATTCGGCTTCCATACTGTCGAATCGACCAGAGCCGTTCCGGCTATCGAGAAAAAAGAATTGTCATTTACTTTTTCTGCTAAGCTATGTGACAATCAAAATGTCACATGACATTTTATTGAAGTGTGATTCCATGTGATATTTACCAAATAAAAGATATTTATCAAATAAAATAAATGTGATCAAATAAAAGAAAATGTGACATTTACATGATATAAAAGTAAATTAAATTAACAATGCATAACAGAAATTTCAAACATCTTTACCATCAAACATTTTTCAAATATCTTTACAGATATTATCTGTGCACTTCTATTTGATCAACTAACATGCAACAACAAAAAAATAATAAAATCATATTTGTTTTCCGTATCTGTAATATTTTGTGCGTGTATTTATCTATTTCAACTTTATTTTAAATTATTTTAAGTTATTTTAAATTAAAGATTCCATCGCGCTCCTTCAAAATTTACACACAATTCGCGTAGAGAGTTTTACACGTAAGTTGTTAATTCAAGTTGTTAGAACGGCATATATACAGAAAAAGAAAGAAAGAAAGGGAGATCGAATTTCTCCATATAGCTATTTCTCCTATTAATTCACAAACGCTACGACGGAAATTATTCAGACACGCGCCGAAAGATGGAAAACGTTGTCCCGAATTTACAAATGTGAATTATATCCGTTCCATATAATTCCGTTGCGTGATAATTTCAGTCTTTTGATGCGTTTCAAGCGATGTTCAAAAAACTGCGTTTTTTATGAATTTTTTTACTAAAGATGGTCCAAAACGGGACCGAAACGTTTGAATTTTCGTAAATATAAGCCATTGTACATCTATTGGTTTGATTAAATTGATAAGTGCGTCTTTGAGACGGCTGTTGGCTCTTATTTGTCTTATTAATTGCTTGTTTCGATTCGTGTCAAGAACTTTTAACTTGTTTAATTACAAATGTGGAAACTATCGTTATTCGCAAAGCTGTAAATTAGTAAATCCTGGTAAAGGTGACGATATACTCACCGAGGAAAATTAGGGCAAGATGTAACCACATGATGATGATGTGTGGCCAACACCCAATGCGAAATGAGAGCTCTGTCTCACTGAATGAATTTATATGCACCGTGTGCTAACTCAGCATATGACCCGCCGCCGATCGCCACCGATTCAAATCCCGATTCAGATTCCACACGAACTTGAAACCGTATCATTTACGTGTGACGGACTTTTTTGACCTTGCACACTCGTGACATCCACAACGTAATTGAGAAAGTGAAGAAACATGATCGCGATATCGTACTTCCGGCCAGAACTTCGACTTCGAACGTGTTATTTTTTCGCCGAAAGAAACTCGACACTTTATATACTATCAGACGCATAAATATCTAATTCGATTGTATTTATATAATAGTATTTTTTTCATTGTACATTATATATATATATATATATATATATATATATATATATATATATATATATATATATATATATATATAATTATTCATTGTATTCAACATATATAATTTTTTCATCGTAGACATATATAATTATGCATGACTATATATAACTACATAAAAACAAAACTCATCGCGTTTATCAATTGTAATTTCACTCTCTTTTAGCCATCATATTGGAAAACAAAAGAGAAAGAGATGAGAGTCGGATGAAGGAATGTCCAAAATCCAAAACAGAGAAGAAAATTCTTAATAAAATTTGCAAGAAAATAAATCGAGATATTGCGAAGTATATTTAATTTCAGTATCTAAGAAGCTATGCTTATACGCCACGCAAATATTTTATGTAATTCTAATTTTTACGTGGCTCTAATCGTAAGGATTTTTCTCCCCTTTTTTCGTCGATAAAACGCGCAAGCTCTCACACACTTGCATATACCTAACGCATCCGCCGGATAAATAGAGAAACAGCGCGTACAGGTTCGCGACCTGGCCGCCGATAATTTTCTGCAAGTGTCGAATTTTCATTTCGTACTTAAGGATAACGTGTAACGTTTACGCATCAGCTTATGCCGTTGGTATGCAGTTTTCTATTTCAAAGCGATGGAGAGTCTTGCGGAGGATGTTGTGTAAATTCATGCATTTCTTAATGAAGCATAAAAGTTAATAATATCGTATCGTGCTCTCCAGGTCGTGACACGTCGTCGGAGATATTTTCTAACGCGAGCGGAAAATCTACAAATGAATAACATTTGAGCTCGAGATAGTCACTTTCTCAATAGACCATGATAAGTTTCTGAACTTGTCACTTAAAAATTCAATAGTATCAATATCTTTTTAATTAAATTATATCAATCTGTCGTGCGATTCAGGAAAGGATGTTATGAATGGACGATAGATTTTATATGCGGAATGCTCGTTATTACTTTAATGATCGATTCAATCAGGCTTTACAATGTTTTATTAAGAAATAGTAAGGTCCAGGAACATATAAATCCAAATTTATAAATTTATAATATTTATAAAGTTTTATTTGCATATATATAATATTGTATATATATTACAATATATATAGTATATTGTGTATATATATATAATGTAATGTATGTATATATAAAATAAATGTATCTTGTATATGTGTACGTGTGTGCGTATGGCGCGTGCGCACATATGTGTATGTGTGTTACATAAATTTCAACAGAAAAATACCTTACTGCCTGCTAAACTAGTTCTAATTTTTATTTACACAGATTTTCGGCAGAGGACGGATACAAAATGTAATAAATGATAACAAATCATATTAAATTATAATAATACTTTCGCATGAAACGACTGCGGATTTGACACTTTTAAAACTCGGCATTTACAGCGGTATATTTTTAATTAGCGCGGACGAGATTAGATGATTCCCATTGCTAACTGTGCCTCTGTCCACTTCTATGGGCGAGATCGTCGCTTTGATGATAGTTGTAGTGGGTTCCGTTTCCTGTAACAGTCAATCAATTAATCGATTTCTCCCTCGAGATTATAGGGAACATGAATCTATCTCTGTTTCTTGTGCTCTCTAACATATAACTCGCGCGTGACATAATAAAATTGTAAGAAATCACATAAATTCCGTACATCTTTATCCAATTACAACGATTAATTCTTCATCTCTCATTTTACCGATGCATTTATGCCAACGAACATGTAATTGCAATCACTAAAATACGTAGTAAGACTTATCTCATGTTAGATTTTTATTCAGAGACAGCTCCAAGTTCATTTCGGTTGAATTATAATATACGCGATATTTACGTCTATATTCACGATTCAACAGAAAAACTATCTCTAACTCCTTCAGATCTAAGTATCTCACTTGAGACGAGTTTCAATGTCTCAAGTAATTATTAACAATGTAATGTTGTATAATATAACATAATAAGGTAATATCTACTGAAATAACATACTATAATAGTAGCAATCCTAAAGCATTTAAACAATTGATACGCATCACTCGTGACTTGCCTCATCCTTTGTTAGCTTACTCTACATTTTTGTAATAATTATTCATGTCTGTATTATTATTTTTTATTTTATGCATTAATAGAGTATATAATAGTGTAATAATAATAATAATAATAATAATAATAATAATAATGATGACAGTAATAATATTACTATCAATAGTATCAATAGTAACAATATTATTATTTTTTATTTTATGCATGCAATGGAGTATATAATAGTAAAAAAAATAATACTGATGAAAGATGATGACAATAATAATATTACTATCAACACTAATAGCAACAGCAGCGGCAACAACAACAATAGTAATATTAAAAATAATAATACAAGCAAGAACTCACCTCATCAAAACCAATGTCGACTTCCTCGAGGACTTCGTCGAGAACGGACACGAAATGATTGACGTTCTCAATGGTAAAGACCATCGGCGGTTTCAGTTTCAGAACGTTGTTGTCGGGGCCGTCGCTGCTAATGAGGATCTTCTTCTCCTTCATCCTGGATACGACGTGTTGCGCCTCCGCCGTCGCTGGTATCCTCTTGGTCCTGTCGCGCACCAACTCGATGCCCACGAAGAGGCCAACGCCGCGCACATCGCCAATAATCCTCCGCCGTTCCGCCAACTTCTTCAGTTCGGCGATCAGATGACCGCCGACCTTCGACGCGTTATCCAGAAGATTTTCACGTTCGATCACCTCCATCACCGCGTTCGCCACTGCGCAGGACACGGGATTGCCACCGTACTGGAATCGTGCGTGAAACATCGCTCGTTACTGTTCGTGTTCTTAGAAAGACACTTCGTGTCTCTGACGTGAAGTTGTAAAAATACCAATCAAGTTCTCCTCAAAAAAATTTAATCATTCATTTGGACAGCTATGCTTCAATTCAACTAACCAACGATTGAGTAAATTCGCTTGAAGACCGTTTAATTGACGATTTATTTCAACGAATTCGATTAAAGACCGTTCGATTGATAATTCATATGAGCGAAGTGAATTAAAAATCGTTCAGTTAATAATTGAACTTAGCATATTTAATTGAAGACCGTTTAATTGAGGATTTATATGAACACGTTCAATCTATTTAACTGTAGATGATCGGTGATATACTTAACCAGTGACTTCTCTTTTCCCCCTCAAAGCGAGTTCTACTTAGCATTTCTCAATCATCGGCAACTTTCACAATATGAATGAATATCCATCAATCATAAAACCTTGAATAATTGAACGTTTTGCGAACTGAATTGATTGAATTTGTTAATATCAATAGTTAATATAAAATTTTATATAAACTATTTTATATCAATAGTTGATATTAAACAAATTTAAATAAAATTTGACAAGTTCAATCGTCAACAGCCTTCAATTAAATTTGCTAAGTTCAATTGTTAATTGAACAATTTTCGTTTCTCTTCTTTTATATTATTATATTGATTTATTATTATATTTTATTTTGTATTATATTTATATATCATATTTTATATTTATATATTATTTACTACATTATATACTACATTATATACTATTAATATATTACATATTATATATATTATTATATTATATTATTAAATTAATCGTCAATTAGATGAACTGAGACAAATAAATTATTAAATTAAAAAAAGTTTTTGATTAATATTTTTACAACTTTATACTCTTTATACTCTAATTAGTCTTTAATCAAATTTGGTAGTTCAATCGTTAATTGAACGAATTTAAGTAAAATCTTCACTCATATAAATCTTCAGTTGAGCGGTCTTTAACTGAATTCATTGAAATCTATCGTCCAATGAACAATCCTCGATTGAATTTGATGAGACCAATTGTCAATTAAACAGTATTTAATTGGACTGACTCATACTAATCGTCGACTAAATGGAATCATAAATTTAAAAAGTAATTAATTACTCACAAATCTGCTTTAAGAATTCGTCACTATCATTTTCTTGTTTTTTTCTTTTTTAACCAACTAACCGTGTTGAAGTATTCAATGCCGGTGTCGCGGAAACTACTCGCGATTTCGCGCGTAGTGACGACGGCCGCGATCGGATGACCATTGCCCATCGGCTTGCCGAGGGTGACGATGTCCGGGATCACATCCTCGCCGTATATTTGAAACGCCCACATGTGAGTGCCGACTCTGCCAAAACCAACCTGCACCTCATCGGCGATGCAAACGCCTCCGGCTTCGCGTACGTGTCTGCGGGATCAATGTCACTTACGGCCACCGCGTATTTTCACGCGTCTACATGGATAACGTCACGATCTGCGCTTACTTGAACACATTCCGGAAGTAGTTCTGCGGCGGTATGATCTGCCCGCCGACCGATATGAAGCTCTCCGCGATGTACGCGCAAACACCGCGTCCCATCGCCTTGATGCCCTTGCAAATCTCTTCCACGTCCTTGGCGTATTTCACACCGAGGTCTTCGCTCGTGTGATCGGTAACGCGATACTTGCCGCGGTAGACATCCGGACACGGAGCCTGAAAATGTATATATGAACTCTCTTAAAGTGAATCAGTGAATAGTCACTGATATCAGTTATGAGTATAGCACTGAGCACTTTCAGTGCTATGCTTATAACTGCAATCAATGTATATTCACTGTTTTCAGTGATATTTGACTGATTCATTTTAAGAGAAAAGTGTGTACAATGAGAAATATCGCGAGTATCAGCGCAATACAATGATTAAATGTGAAATAGATGATGCAAAATATTATTGGATAAAAATAAAAATATATAAATAAGAAATATAAAAAAATAGTAAATAGTAAAAAAATAGTAAAAGTAAATATAAAAATAAATAAAGATATATAAAATTGAGTTGATGAAATAAATTATAGAAAGATAGAGTTATTGAATATAGACGATAAGCGAAAGTGTAGAAACAAAATTATTAAATATGAAAAAAATAGATGACAAGTAAAACTGGACATAAAATTATGAAATATGAAATATGTATAGGTTGGAGTAAATAAATTTTCTTCTAACCAAATCAAGTTTAAAAGTTAATGACTTATATAATTATTTTTGTTAAGTTAAAAGTCAAACCTAAACAGAAATTAATTTAATTAAAAGTTAAATTAAAATTGAATTATCCTATTAAAGTTAATTTAATCTTTCATACAGCGAGTACAAAAAGGATAAAATTGTGAAAATAATTATTTTCGAATAATGAATGGCATAGTTTAAAGATATTTTTTCTATAAAACTTTTGTACAAAATATTTGTAATATTTCACTTTGTTTACGAGATATATTGAAAAAAACAAAAGCCTCTGTATCTTCGAAAGATGGTTTCATTACTTTAAAATTTTTTTCCCATTCCAACTGAAAATTTTTGAATTTATCTATTTATCTAACTTACATTTATGCTTAAGATCTAAATTTGGAAATTTGTTCCCTTGTAAGTTAAAAGTCACTAACTTTTTAATTTCACTTTTATCTGCTAAACTAGTCATTATCCAATCCTGGAAATATATAAAATAGATGATTGCGAAAGATAAAGCGCGACGTAACCGTTGGATATATTTCCCAGAAGTAGAAACCAATCGCTTTTCTCCATCTTGGTATTTAGATCGCGCCAAATTCTTACTACGAAGTAGTCGAACACGACTTTTGATCGTGAAGAAATTCCACGTAATCTCCGCGGCGATCGCGAGGTCGATTTAAACAGATCTCTCCAGATCGATAAACAAGCTACGCTTAATGAACAAATCGCTCGGTATCGTTGCGCAATCATCTGGCTTCCACGAGAAATGCATTCGGGATATTTTACCACGTGCACCCAGTCCTTCTTGCCGTTGCCTTTCGCCTGGTTGAACTTGTACGGCGAGATATCGATCGTCGTGGTCAAACTCCCATGATAAGCGCTAAAAGCAAAAAGTACCACCATTTAGAAATGTCTTTTTCGACCGTCGCCTTCATTTAAGTGCTTAAATTCTACGATCTATCGCGCATCGTAGCCCTCCGAGACGCCCCAGACGCATCTGAGAATCATTGTCAGTTAATATCGAGTCGCTCAAAAGGTTCGCTTCAGTCTTTAAGTCGAATTCCATTCTGCTGCATTCAGTGGAAACAAATAATTCATTAACCCTGACAATAATACCAAGCCGAATATATCGATAAAATTTCACTCTAATTTTGCCGTCAAAAACTTCCTCGAAATTATACATGACAAAAAACCATGTAAAAAGTAAAACGAAAAAGAGAACAATGATTGCGACTTATGACGAGTGATTTAATCAAATTTACATTAATCTTTTTATAATATGCGAGCATAATATAGCAATATATAAAACGAGCGTGTTACCGTCAGGGTTAATGATCGCCATTTTTGTCTCCGTGGCATCATTTATGTATTTCTATAATAGAGAAGTCGGAAAGTCGACGCGAACTTTTCGACCCAACACTTGATCCAGTAATTATCACATTTCACTGAGCAAAAAACTAGGCGATCCTGAAAGCACAATTCTTTTTTTTGTTTTGTTTCTTCCCCGCTGTTGCGCTGAAGATGAGCGCGATGGTCCCGCCGTGGTTACGACATGCAGAGCCGTAAATGAGTCCAACTGCCGCCTCTGACCAATCGATAGCCCACTGACATTACCTAATTAACTTTTGTCTTCATCTCGATTTTGTCCCTTCGACGCCTCTTCGGCGACACTCGTTCGTCGGATGACACGTGAGGACGCGTCACCGCAGCCGAACAGGCTTTTCTTCCTACCCCAACTGAAAATTTGTTCAGTCGCGCTTCACCTAAAACGACAAGATGTTTATGCCTCTGTATTTTATTCCAGCCGTGGTGCGGAGAGTCGACATGCTTCCGCCTTTTTCCATCGGCGCGATTCGCGACTTTCCCGCTGACGACCTCGGGAAAAATCAAAGCTGCAAACAGGCAAACAGACAGTACGGTTTCGATTAGTTCGGCTGATGAAGTTACTTTTCTCATCGTGCGTGTTCGCAGCCTGAAGTATCCAGAACGTATTCGAGCGACGTCGCAAAGTTTCTCGCTTGTGCCAAGAAGAAAGAAAGTGTGGAAGAAAGAGCGGAAGAAGAAGAGGAAGAAGAAGTTCAGGAAGAGGTAGAAGCAGAAGAGAGCTGATCTGAGTGGCATGCAACGGAAGTGTGTCTTTTTGCACATAGAAAAAAGATGGAGTATCCACTTAAAACTACTATACCCAAATTAACAATTATTCTTTTATACATAGACATTTTATATATAATTTGGTTAGAAGAATTTTCAAGTCTTGAATTGCAACGATATTATAATTTTATTTGAATATTATAATAAATTCATAAAAAGCAGGGGAGACCGGGTTTAGAAGTCACACGGGTAAGTTTGGCACAAAACTTACATGTGACGTAATAAGTGGAGGAGTATATTCTGATCTTTAGTATAGGTGTTACCTCATGTATCATATTGTGTGCACGAAATGTCTTATAACAGAAACGTCACATGTGGTACTTACAAGAACTTTTTTTCAAAATTGGGCCCGGTGAGTAAAGCTTTCTTGTCTATTTTTACTGATCCGTTGATTTTCTGATCGTAATTTCTCTTTAGTTATAAAAAATGTTATAACATATATATTGTTATTGCATGTTATGATTATTTACTTTAAACATTACAAAACTCCAAAGATGTAGAGCAGAAATAGTACAGAGTATTTACTTTAAAAAGCTATCGTAGGACATTTGTGAAAGTTACGTCTTTTTATAACTAATTAATTAATTAATTAATTAATATATAGCCTTAAGTATTTTACTTTCTATTGTACCTCCTTATGAGGTATCACTAACTTCAATAAATCATATAAAACGTTAAAATAGAATAATTTATTTTTTTTTCTTTTATATAAAAGACATGACAATCAATCTTGAATATATAATAAATAGTCATATTTGCACGATTTTGCTTACAACTTGGCAACTTTTTTGTATATAATTATATATAAGAGTAATATTTTTTTTTTACGCCCAAAGGTTGCACCTATATAAAAATGTACACAATATTAAAAAATATTGTATATAATTTTTTTTTAATCAGTATGTAAAAATGTGACAAGCAGACACGGTCTTCTCTACAATATGATGATTTTAATAATAATGATATCTTCTTTTGACATTTAAGAACATCATATTCCCAACTCGATTTTGCTTTTTATTCGTGAAAATTATATTTAATTATTTTAATAAGATTTTCCTAAAGTATAAGAGTAATACATTTTCTTTGTTGAATCACATATAAAACGTACTGATGCAAGTAATTTATCTTCGTTTAACGCTATGTAATTGCATCTTAAGATTTCCATGCCAAAAGTGAAGATATTTTCAAAACAGGATTGTTCTTTTTTTCTATGCATTTGACCCCTTAAGTCCGGGTGATTTGTATGGAAGCGTGTCGTGATTCTTGCTCGGCAAGTGACGTCATGACAGTGCTCAAGCGTGTGCGATGCATTTTGATGGACGTCGCAGTTAATCCGAATGAAAGAACTTACTGATCCAGCGTGATGACATCTCGGTTGTTCGTGTGCGCCTGAGCTAGCCGCAGAGCGAGATCGTTCGCCTCGCTGCCCGAGTTTACCAGGAAGCAGACAGACAGCGGTTCCGGCATCGTCGACGCCAACCGGCTCGCGCATATCACCAGATTGTCGTGCAGGAAACGGCTGTTCGTCGCCAGCAGGGCCATTTGTTTCTGTCCGGCTTGCACGACGTCCGGATGGCAGTGGCCGACTGCGAAGGTATCGGCAATTAACACATCGATCTCATCAATTGTGCAAACGCCTAATTGTTCATTGAATTACTGAAAGCGTGGTGAATCAATGTAATTTTCTCGTGTTTTCTCATCAAGTTTCATTGATTCTTTATTGGCTGTATATAGTCGATTTTTCAAATGTAATTAATTATACTTTATAATCTGATTCTATAAACTTATAATGTTATAATCTTATAATTTATTTATTTCTTAACAAGTAAACATCTCTAAGGAAAAAGAGAGTGCAAAAGTATAAAGCAAAATAAAGTAAAATATAATAAAATAAAATTTTTGTTCGTGGAATAGAAACAAAATTTTAATCCAATCTAATAATCTGGTAAATTTTGCTTCAAGTAAGTAAAATTTCTGATTCTTACGAAGCCAATTTTGTTCTTAATAATCAGAAATTCTATTTCCTTCAAGAAAACACATTTAATTGTGTCATTATTATGTTAATTCAACTGATTATTTTCTGCGTTCCCTCTAAATTTCAGAGAGAAATCTCATTCAAAACGAGTGAGAAATGACTGCCACTTGAAGTCGCAAAAGTGAATGTTTCATTCTAGCTTAAAGATTCTCCATATGAGGGAATATTTTAATCAATTAGAGCGAATAGTCTTCAGTTTCGAATAAAAATATTCCCTCAATGATTCAGAGTGAAGAATTCACTCCACGTGAATGAAAGATAGCCTTAATTCGAATGCTGTCTTTTTTGGTAGAATCTAACTCAGGATAAATTGTTCATTCGTAGAAATAAATGTTCCAATTAATCAGATTGGATTTGTTCCAGTGACGCAGGAGTATATAAAATTCACTCTTCAACTTCATATTTCACTAAACTGCTCAGAGTATATAATTCACTCTATATGAACAAAAAATCACTCGTGTGATTTGGTGGCTACTCTACTTTTCGAGTGAGATTTCACTCCAAGAAATTTAGAAAACATTCTATAATATATTTTGACATAAGTATTGTACTTTATTATAATTATAACTTAACAAACAACGCGATAGTAAAATAATATCGGCCACCAGTGACCGTCAGAGTTCAATTGAACAAGGAACTACCGTACCCAACAACGTGAAGATAACGCGAATGATAACGCGCGTTATCCTCCGTTATCGATGATTACATACGTACCATGCGCAACGTTGTTTATGCAGTCCAGGTAACGATTTCCTTTCTCGTCGTACATGTACTGTCCCTCGGCCTTCACGATTTTCAACGGACTCGACTTGTAAAACAGCTTGCACGATTGTCTAGATTTTGATTAAACGATTATCAGGATTATCGAACTGTCTTGTTTGTCTTTTCCTCAAATTGAGAGGAAAGTTCTTCAGACTCCCCGAAGAAAAAAGAAAAATCTTTTCTCACCCGATATAACGCTCGCGCATCCTCATAGTATCAGTTTTTGGCATTTGCTCCAAGGATTCCGACATGGTGAAGATTCTTCGGTTGAACTGTGTCGAGTCTTTACACCTACGAGAGATACAATAATCACTACAACACCGCGAACACCTTAGCCAATCCGGTTTATCATATCAATTGTTGACGATCGCGATTGATTTCGACCCGATCGCCGCTCTTTTAAATCGATAAATTTGTTGTTGAGACAAATAGATCGCAGAAGCAAATAGATGGCGATCCGCGTCAATCTTTTCTCTAATTAAGGAAAACCCGCGCGATAAGGATAAGTGCATAATAAGAGCGCTTATCAGGACTTCGACTTCTTTGATACACAAATAAGGTCATTTTCATGCAAATGGAAAATTACGTGAAGCTTATCGGATGAGCGAGTTTGCGAGCTACGCTGAGTCAAATGTACGACTTCAGTTCGTCATTCTCAACGACTCTGAACGTGCACCAAACATGGCTGTATCGAAAAAAAATTAGGCAGTTTTTGTTCTGCCTTTCGGGTTGGTATTTTCTCCTTCACAGATTCATTTTCGACGTTTCATGAACATTCCAGTTCATATCTTCAGGAGACTTTATCAGTAGAGGAATAATCTGAGATTCCTTTGCTGTAAAAGCCTCCTGAAGAAATGAACTGGAATGTTCATGAAACATCGAAAACAAATTCATGAAGATGCATCACCAGAAGCTAGGCTAAGCGTTTCATCATATCGCGCGTAAGACTAAAATAATAAATTAAGTAAATATTCGATTATTATCGAAGTATTCTGTCTTGAAATTCTGTTATAAGCTTTCCGACATATTTTTCTTCGAACATTATTTAGGAAGAAAGAGAGAAAGAGAGAAAGAGAGAGAGAGAGAGAGAGAGAGAGAGAGAGAGAGAGAGAGAGAGAGAAAGAGAGAAAGAGAGAGAATAGTTTAGCAATCGCATTCTTATTCACAGTTAATTGTTTACTGTAATTCTAAAATCACAATCCAGTTTCATCATTATTTATTTTCAATATGAATATTATTTCTGTCTTGACCAATGAAAGTCACAATATGGATACTTTTTTTTTAATATGTTGGCAACAATAATAGCTGGCCAAAACGTGATCTCAAAGTCACAAGTCTATTTTAAAAAAATTAAAAATTAGGAAAGTGAAATTTCATCTTGTATTGAGTACTTTAGTTTTAAACGTCCTATGTACATACAATTTTTTTTAAATATGAGAAATTAATTTAGGCAGTAGAAGGTTAATTAGAAAGATTTTACGATCGCAATCGATAACAATAATGAGAGCCGACTCAATACCCGAAATAGAGAACTCACAATGAGAGAACGGCGCATAGAGAATCAAGACGAGACAAATAGCACTGCAAAATATATCTAAGTACGTTATTTTTAAACGCACAATCGTGTAACTTGGCTGAAGCTCTTTTTATACGTTTCCTGCGGTTTCAAGTCACGTCACTTAACACATTTAAGATGTATAAATTATATATATATAATATAGTATAAAGTATAGTATAAAATATAGTATAAAATAAAGTATAAAGTACACATGATGTAAAATAAAGTATAAAATATACATGATAATTCAATACGTTTAAGTAAATTGTTAAATAACGTGATTTAAAATGGTAAGAAACTTGTGAAAGAGATTCAGCCACACAAAGTAACATACTTGAATTTGCAGTGCTCGCTATCTATAAACTTAATATTCGGTTTTCTCTTTGCATATTATAGCCGATTTGAATAAGGAGGACTACGTTTTGTTCCGCGTGTTTGTCTGACATTAGTCACGTGCTTTCACACAGAACAAAGCCGATAGATTCGCGAGACGTGCACAAGTCGACATAGGACATAGAATAAGATCTTGTGTGACGCTACAAATGCTTCAAAGTGCCATGTAGATCAATCACAATCTTTCTTTATACGTTCAAAAGCATTTGCAGCTCCAAACAGATCGTACCATAAGCAACAGAAATAAAATGTAAATGGATTGAGATTACGAAAATGCGCTACGTTGAGATAGCTGTTATCACTTCTTAATTTACATTTTCGTATTCATGTAAACATTTTCCTTCCATTCTTACTTGTGCAACGCGCCAGTTTACAGTTCGTAGTTGACAAAAATAGAGACGTACTAAACACGTGGCAGAGTAGTGTATGTACTATGAGAGTGACACACAAAGAAAGTGACAGTAAACGATAACGCTGCATATATCTCAACAAGTAATTTTCCTGTTTATGATAAAGTTGAATGTACTTGACATCCATAAATTAGCAGACACCAGCGGTATTTTCGTACACGCCGGAAGTTTATGTTGAATTATCAGAGTTGTACGGAAAAAAAGGTTTGGTTGAATTAACCAAATATCTAGTCGAATATAAACGATCCAGAAATTTCGATTGAAATAACCCGAATTCTGTTTAAGTTAACAAGATTGTTGGTTGACTTAAACAGAATTCGGGTTATTTCAATCGGAATTTCTAGATTGTTCATACACTGAAAAAAAATTTGGTAATACTTACCAAATGCGTTTTACCATACCATTTGGTAAAAAACCAATATGGTAAATGTTACCAAATGTTTGATAATAATTATGAAATTATTAGTAATATTAACTTTCATATAATAATATTCATCTCTTATATTTAGTTGATACTATTTCACTAAATGTAGTAATTATAACACAGGCTGGGTAATTATTACCAGAAATTTTTCAGTGTATTCGACCAGATATTTGGTTAATTCAACCAAACCTTTTTTTCCGTGTGAGAAAGTTATTTTTTAAAAGTAACTAGTTACAGTTACAGTTACAGTTACAAGTTACAGTTACAATTACAAGTTGGCTATGAAAAGTAACTTGTTACAGTTACAACTAAAAAGTAACAAGTCGTTACTTTTAAGTTAATTTCTTGAAATGATTGTAAATTATTATTGTAAATACAAAAATGTTACATTTTAAGCTTTACTAAAATATAAGAATTGAACTTTATAATTAATATCTATCACATTAGTTAGTCAATTCACTTAATAAATTTTAAATCTGTATTTAATATAATATATTTCTGGCGTCATTAAAAAGAGATAGACAATGGGGCGAAGAGCCTTAACTATCAGTTAATTTACCAAGAAGTTGGAGTAACTGGCCCATAGGCATACATACACATGCATAGTATTGTACGTCACACGATATATTAATGGCATCCACATAAGAAATGTATTAACGCGGCAAGAGAGTAACTTGTTTTCGTTTAACTCTATGGAATCTCATTTTATGATTTTGAAACACCCTGCATTTAAATGAAATTTTTCTTTCATGACGAAAGACTATTGTTTACTACATAGAAACAAAACTGTAAAATCAATAGAATTGGTCTATAACGCCGTAGTTGGAATGAATTTTCATGCATAGTATTGTACGTTACACGATATATTAATGGCATCCACATAAGAAATATTCCTTAATTTTTAAATATTTTTTCTCAATGTGGTTTTAGTTACATGCTTTATTTTGTATAAAAAATGTGATGCAATATGGGAATTTTTTTCAGATTTTAAAGCTATTGAAAATATTTCTATGACATTTCTTCGGTAAATGGATGTTTATATTTTCGAGAAAAACTATATATATATATATGTCCATATATGCGTACATGTGTATATTCACACGTGACATCGTTCGTGCCGCGAAATAAACGCAGTGCATCGTGACGGGTTTATTTTTAACAGTCGCGCGTAGGATTGTTTCAATTGAAAGAGCCGGTGTACTCGCGGTGTTATGCGGTTGTTAACTATTGCATATTTGTGGACAATGTTACGAGATAGCCGCGTGGACGCAGACGACTTCCTGCTTTTCATCGTCGCGCTAATTAGCACAGTTTATCGCGGAACTGTAGCCATATCGTCCATTGCGCGGGCTCGCATGCAGAGCCGATCCGTCAGTGCTTTTGTACTTTGATGAATTTGCGCTAGAGAAGTATCGATAACGTGATCATAGGTTGTCGCTCCACTTCTCAAGCTCGATGACGGACGAAAAATACGGAGTCGCGCGCGATATCATGATAAAATTCGATTATTGCGATACGATATGAGCCGTAAATTACGATTTTTCTCTTCGTTGAAAACGAACAACATTGATGAACATAAACAGAAAGATTTTGCAGGCAAACGAAAAACGTTGTTGAGTCGATAAGATTTAACAATGCACTGTGATTGAAACACATCTTTTTTATACAATAGCAGTGTTATTTAAACTAATACTTGAGTTATTAGAACAATATGCGATATATTGAGCCGTGTGCAAAATGTAGCACATATTAAGAATAAGAATAAATATTAAATAATCCAACTTGAAAGTAAAATTATTTTATTTAAAACAAAGAAGCGGAACAGAGAATAACGTACGATAAATTAGGAATTAGGAGCCAAGAATATAAAAACTACGCGATATGTTAGGTACGAAAAATAACTCATTTTACGTATAAACTTTTACAGTATTTAATATTTATTCATATTTCTAATATTTTCTCCATTATATACAGGATTTTAGTTTCCATAACACTGCTATTGATTCAAGAAAATTCATTCCAACTACGGCGTTATAGACCAATTCTATTGATTTTACAGTTTTGTTTCTATGTAGTAAACAATAGTCTTTCATCATGAAAGAAAAATTTCATTTAAATGCAGGGTGTTTCAAAATCATAAAATGAGATTCCATAGAGTTAAACGAAAACAAGTTACTCTCTTGCCGCGTTAATACATTTTATATACTGAGAAAAAAATTTTTTGTGTGGCACTTGTAACAATAATCATACAGAAAAATAATCAATATAAATTATGGTAAAAAAAACCATTGTTTTTTTAAATTCTACTATAATGTTAGGAATAATATATAACCTCATATATATATATATATATATATATATATATATATATATATATATATATATA